ATCAACGTATGTGCTAATGGACGGAAGGGTTCTGAAACATATTGAATACATCATAATTGTTTAACATTACTGATGATGATTGAGATAATAGATTATAACACGCGCTGCTTTAAACATGCTCGGTCAGTCATGAAATGACTGGGTAACACAACGACCCGACAGTGTCAGAAACATCATGTGACCTATAAAAATATTCCCGTAAATACTGTAGTCTCCATGTTAAATACATCTTTGTATTGTATGTATGTCATACATAAATTTAATGAAGAACGCATGTCATTTTCTTAATAAAAAATATTCTGAAACAGAGTTTGCATTTTAAACGTTAGGAAAATCGAAAATTACATTAACATCGAGTTGATAAATGTTTGTTGTCATCACTGAAAGTATTTTATTGTCATCATTAGGTAGTGCTCTATATCATGGTCATAACAGAGTATTCTACTTGTACAAAGTTTTTCACGTTGGTGACAAACAATCTTCAACATATCTATCATTGAGTGGAAGAGGGTGCGCAATAAATTTGATAATACTTTCAGCTTTATCTTGGATTAGTGAAGAGGATAGAATTAGTTTAAGAACGTTTTTTTATCTTTGTCTCGGAGTGGACAACGGACATCAAAAGTGATAATATGGCTGTTATGAAACGGGAGATATAGCACTAGTAACAAGGGATGAGATCATAAAATGGATGTAACGGGTTTTATAGCACTGATAACAGGGTGTTTATATCATGGGTGTGATATTACTGATAACTAGGTAATTATGTAACGGGTTTTGTGGCACTGATAACAGGGTGTTTATATTATGGGTGTTATATTACTGATAACTGGGTAATTATGTAACGTGTTTTATAGCACTGATAACAGGGTGTTTATATCATGGGTGTTATATTACTGATAACTGGGTAATTATGTAACATATTTGATAGCACTGATACCAGGGTGTTTATATCATGGGTGTTATATCACTGATAACTAGGTAATTATGTAACGTGTTTTATAGCACTGATAACAGGGTATTTATATCATGGGTGTGTTATATCACTGATAACTGGGTAGTTATGTAACGGGTTTTATAGCACTGATACCAGGGTGTTTATATCATGGGTGTTATATTACTGATAACTGGGTAATTATGTAACGGGATTTTAGTACTGATAACAGGGTGTTTATATAATGTGTGTGTTATATTACTGATAACTGGGTAGTTATATAACGCGTTTTATAGCACTGATAACAGGGTGTTTATATCATGGGTGTTATATTACTGATAACTGGGTAATTATGTAATGGGTTTTGTATTACTGATACCAGGTTGTTTATATCATGTAAGTTATATTACTGATAACAGGGTGTTTATATTATGGGTGTTATATCACTGATAACTAGGTAATTATGTAACGTGTTTTATAGCACTGATAACAGGGTGTTTATATCATGGGTGTTATATCACTGATAACTGGGAAATTATGTAACGTGTTTTATAGCACTGATAACAGGGTGTTTATATCATGGGTGTTATATTACTGATAACTGGGTAGTTATGTAACGGGTTTTATAGCACTGATAACAGGGTGTTTATATCATGGGTGTTATATTACTGATAACTGGGTAGTTATGTAACGTGTTTTATAGCACTGATAACAGGGTGTTTATATCATGGGTGTGTTATATTACTGATAACTGGGTAGTTATGTAACGGGTATTATAGCACTGATAACAGGGTGTTTATATCATGGGTGTTATATTACTGATAACTAAGGGAAATTTTATGTATAACAGTGTTTTATAGCACTGATATTACTGATAACTAGGTAATTATGTATCAGGGTGTTTATATTATGGGTGTAATATTACTGATAACTGGGAAATTATGTAACGTGTTTTATAGCACTGATACCAGGGTGTTTATATCATGGGTGTGTTATATTACTGATAACTGGGTAGTTATGTAACGTGTTTTATAGCACTGATAACAGAACAGTCATGGATGTTATTATACTGGTCATGACACATTGTGGTAAGGTAAAGTGTGTTTTAATCCTTATGCAATTAGACATATATAATCAACAACATGTAGTGCTGTTTTTGGCAGACGCGAAATATTTTTGATTACTAACAGCGTATCATGCTATCTAAAACACCTATAGGCTAATCCGGTACTGTAAGATAACAGTGTTAATTGTTTTGAAAAATGTTGACACTGAAATAACATACATATTTTACTCTAAAAGACGGTTTTTTTCTATGCCTACCCTGAAACCTAATATCTTTTAGAGGCAACGTCGGTTTACTGTCTTCATTGATCAATAGCTGTGTAAACATTTCGTGGAATTAACACACACGAATCTATAAACGTCTCCATACCAGGAAGTCTGGTTGTGCCTATCAATTGATTGTCCATGTCATTTAAAGGTGTTCTTTGGTAAGTAAGAGGCATCTGGTTTCGGCTTGATAGAATATTAAACAGGTATACCTACATATTGATTTTGTCTGCCATCTAGAGGTGTAAGTCTCTAGCATATGTAACACAATGTTTCAGGGATTGTACTGAAGACACACAACCGAATAGTACCTTTTAAATCTAATCTTAAATACAGACGAGTTAAATAATTACTTAAGCTGCGTCATACCTTCCAGGACTCACTAGTGTTTTAAAATTTTAAATTTAGTAGGCGACTGAAAAATCGAAGTGGTTGAAAGAAAAGCGAAAGTCTAGATTGGGAGGTAAACTGCTCCTATCATCTAATAAATTTCATAATGTTGTTATATGCGATAATTTAAGAACATCGTCAATTACATGTATATTTTCGGCGCCGTGCCATTATTCGAATAAATTAAAACTTGGCAGGTAAGTTATGGCAAAGACCTGGTATTTAAAAGTCTGGCAGCAATGACTACCTTTCAAAGTCTCACAATACGAATCCAATGCCATGAAAAGGCGTTGTGTCGTGGGTCTGATACATGTCACATATTGTATTCATATGCATTCACGTGCCTACATATAGAATATGCATTTTAATATCTAAAGATATTCGAAGAACATAAATGTTCTTTTGAAGTCATTTGTACTCTAGTTTGGTTAGCTGGACTCTCCTACTGTATAACTTGGTTGTTCAGGGTTTCTTTACAATATCATTTCTGTAAAATTATACGTTCCTCATTGTTAAATCATTGGGGAATAGTCCGTGGATGAAATCAGATGGATTAAATGTCCAACAGTACAGCTTGTTGGTTTCATTCTCGTTAATCATCTCAGAACGTGACCTTACTTATTTGTATTGACCAATATTTACGTAGCGGGTATCCTCGATGAAGCGGAAGACGCTCGTTCTTCCGGAACACAGGTCTTATATAAATTCGTTGATTATGCGTTTGGGTGCCGATTTTAGTTTCCTATCATCTGTTTTTATTGAAGTCTCGGCATAATATTTATCTTAGGTCAGTTTCCACTTTCATACATTTAGTTATCCTTAACGTGTTTTGGTCAGTTTCATCCTCATTTAAGTTAAATGTTTGTATCTGATCATACAAATATAGCAGTGTCTCGGGTAATGAGGATAATAATAAAGAATTAAGTATGTTAACGTCTTCCTTAATATATTAAATGTAGAAGTTTTAAGACTTATCTATCAGACCGGCGAGTAGAACCACAGATTAGCCATAAGTTAAAATAATATTTAGTTTCGGAGTTTACTCCAGTGCATCACAAGAGGCTATTTAGAAGTAAATATGTAACACAAATCACATGTGTTGAGTTAAGTGTCTTGATATATAATACTGGCTGTTGTGATCGGGCTCTTTAGGTCGCGCCCAGCTAATGGTGTCGATAATAGGTGCAATTAAACATTTTACATAATGATTAAGTAAATAACGATTATAATATAAAATGTTGAATAATTAGTGTAGTATTCGTACAGTGATATGGTTGATCTTACAAAATCAATGTAATTCTATATTGTGAGCGACTGTTCTGTTTGAAGGATCCGCTGTCTATCTGTTACCTGTTGCTATTCTTTCCAAATGTACTTTTTAACTATTCTAAAAATTCAACCGGGAACCCAGAATTTTAAGCTCGATCAGTTCGTAACAGTGACTATTTTTTTCTCTGACATACAGACCTCCAAAACAGCAGTTTTTTTAACTGTTTTGTGGTGTAAACTTTGAATTGTAGGTAAGAAGTATTTAAATAAGGTCTATGACTCATGTACAGCAGCGACACAAATACAGATTACATAAGTAATGGGTCATAGGAGTTAATGCACAGCTTAGCGCACTGCTGATAATAATACTCATTGTACCAGCCTTTTCTGTCGTGAAAACTTACAAACCTCAGGGCTTTTAACACACTTCAATACGAACAAAATACTTATTCTGAATCACTTATATTTCACGCGGGATTTATTTTCGCGTTAATTCGCGAGGAGAGTCAATGCTTATTTATTTGTACAAAAATAATTCTTGATGATATCCATGCTTATTCGGTTACTGATATCGGAGTCCATATGTTTTATATCCCATCGTGGGCGAATAAAAGTTATTTCTATATCACAATTCGCGGAATCATGTATTCGTGGCTATGTGTGAAGAGGTGAGTTCGCGAAATAAATCTTTCACGAAATCTAAGTGATTTACAGTAACTGAAACAGTGAATGCCGTCTCAATGAATAACACTATGTTTATATCGGTAATGACAAAAGAGGATGATATACAGAGGGAATGATACAGCACAAATAAAAAACGGTTCAAAAAGAGAGATGAACACTGGTGTAGAAGCACGTGTGTATTCTATGAGCCGGTGCTGCTATTCAGAAAACTAGAATACTATGTACGTAAGGACGGTCCCCACATTGTGTCGGACACTGGAACATTATATACCATCCGGGAAACAAACAAAAAATGTTTCAGAATTGTCGGAAATATTTAATTCAGTATAATTCAACAGTAAAATATCAAAATTTATCAGTTCAATTTCATTTGTTTTCTTTATATTTTCAGATATGAATCAATCATTTCCTGATGACAACGCGACGGAGCTCAATGATACCGAAAAACGGTGTCACACTTGGCTCGCAGATGAACTTCCGTCGTTTGATAATTTGACGATAGATGACCTTAACAGCCAGTTTGTGAGGAGGAATATTGGAGGAATCGGTCTGTTGTCTATCTTTGTCGTGATTGGTCTAATCGGAAATATCCACGTGCTGTACATATATATACGACAGTTCCGAACGTCCAACTACAAAGTATACGTCCTTTATCTCGCTATCATGGATATTATAAACTGCACGGTGGTAGCACCACTTGTGATAACATATCTCTTTTTCCCTATGACATATCCATCTCTTGCACTGTGTAAGACGTTTCGATTTTGTTTGTATTTGTTTTCTATTGCTTCAACGTCCTCCATGGTAGTCATCGCAATTGACCGACACAGGAAGATTTGTCGACCACTTGGTCCACAGTTTACTATTAGAAAAGCAAAACTACTATGTGTTGGAAGTTTTATATTTTCAATCATTCTCTCCTGGCCTGCTACAATATTATACGGTCTGAGCTCAATAGAAACCGGATTTCCAGGAGTACAGACCGGATACAGGTGTTACACTCATGACGACTACAAAGGGTCATTATATCAGGTTCTTTTTCATCTCATTCTGACACTTTACTTCATCGCTGTCACAACCCTACTCGTAATAGCATACATAAAAATCGGCCGACATATACATGCTCACAGAAAGTTCCAAACAAGTATCAGACGAATGTCTGCAAGGTCGGAAGAAGAAATCAAAATGGCCACCGGAAGTGCTGCGCGTAAAACAACGTGGACATTATGTGCCGTTACCATAGTTTATATTCTGTGTGCGCTACCGCATCATACTCTAGCGTTGTTGATATTTATTAACAAAAATTTTGATTGCGAGTTATCTCTTTTAGGGTCACAAGTTTATTACACATTTATCTGGTCATACTTTGCTAATAGTGTTGTTAATCCTTTTATATACGGTATCAGAGACAGAAAATTTAGATTTGAATTTCGTAACATGTATAGAAGATAGTTTTCAGCGGGTTTTAGAAGTCTGAAGACAATCAAATGACATGCATAAAGATACATACTGCAAATGTACACATTTTAGGAGTACTCTTATTTAATCGATTTTCGAGCTAAAACATTGTGCTAATTATATCATTGCAATTTCTATAATATGTTATTTCGTAAATAATGAAGCTATTTTAATTGAGCGAAATCATCATTGTGCTTACTGTATTTGTTAAAAATTGATATTATGTTTAAATTTGATTGCTCAAAAATATGTACGTTTACAATATATGTTTAATCAAAATTAAACTGTGAGTGCAATTGGCTTTCGAATTTAACAGCAACAAATGCTAATATACCGATTCAAATGTGGGATCCTGTTGAAAAATAAAATGACACAAAGTGACAACGTGGATGGACTTTTTAAACATTCTACCATGATGTAATATTTGTGTACGTTTGCATTCCCTGAAGTCAGTGTAGAAAAAGACTTAATGAAAACAGTTTAGCGAAGAATGTTTCCTTTCACTAAACAAATGTATAACTTAATTACTTAATCCCCTTGTCATCCAGTAAATTCGCCCTTGTAATCATTTTGCGTATGTGTCACTGACGTAATATACTTTGGAATGCTGTGATGTTATACATTATGATAGAAGTATCTTAAATTTGTTTTCGTTCCATTTGAAATTTTATGACAGTCGTCATGAAATTTTAATTTTTGCTTGCTAAACTTGCAAATACAAAAAAAATAATAGACTCGTACCATAAAGTCTCATTTGAAATGAAAATTCATTTAAAAATCTTTATGTAGCAAATTGCCTTCTGACGAATGCGACCACTGTTGCAATTTACAAATAACAATTTTATTCCATGTAAATCTGTCTTTTTTCATATTTTTCTTCATTCCAACGAATTGGAGATGAAGTTATGAATTTAACAATTTAATTCCATTTTCATATTTCTCTTCATTCCAAAGAATTGAAGATGAAGTTATGAATGCCAATTTTGCTGACATGGATTTTTCCTTACTTTTTAATTACGTCTTTCAGTAAAAGTTATGGAAACCCAAGTAAAGTCAATATCATCACTTAAGCATCTCTATTTTCTCGCATCATCGGAAAACCGAAGTCAAAACAATGTGGTGATCATAATTTCTTTTAGTTCTTGCTTTAGAATAAAATAAAATATTTGCAAACTGAAATGTCAGTTATCAGCAGATTCAGGAATAACATTGGAGTGTTTTTTTTGTGTCGATATTACATAATCCTTGTAAGGTTCTATGACAAACTTTTCTTGCACGCGTGACTGATTTACGGCTTTTGATTGGTCTGTCAGCACGATTTGGGTTTAAGAAAGACAAATGCATCCATGTGTAGGAATGTTTATGCAGAAAATGGCAATACATCTAGATATTAAGTAAATTAAGATATATATACATTTTTTAAACTCATTTTCAAATTCTATTTACAATGTATCATTGGTGAAATAAACTTTATCAAAACTAATTTTGAGTTGGTTGTTTTGTAATCAATATTTAATATGAATAGTAAAACCATCAACACTGACTATGATTTAAGACGGGTTTTGATTTTTTTAGTTTTTTTTTTTTTTTTTTGTGGGGGAGGGGGAGTTGGGTTGGGGTCCATGGTTACCTTTAAACAAAGTCCCATGTACTATATAGAGAATGTCTAAGACCTAGATAGGAATATTTATACCAAATTAATATTTTCTGCTCTAAAAGAGTCTCTGAAATGTGTTCATTTGATACGTATGCTATTTGATACCATACGAATTTGAAAAATAAATAAATAAATAAAATTATTTAATGTAGCTTGATTGTATCCCTTCAAATGACGGCGGTTTCAGCATTTCTTTGCATACATTGTTTTCGTGATTAACAAAGAGATTTCACAGAACAATCACCAATACACCGGGAGTCAGTTGTCTTAATGAATAAAACCGAATTTCTCCGTGTTTTTATATACACAGCATACTATGATTTTAAAAAACAAACTATTGCAAAATATTCATATTTTAAATAATTTAAAATTACCAACCGTGGTTCATAGGTTACTTTGGGTTTATATTCAAATGTTTCTTCTGTATGAATAAATTATTTTAGCATTGAATGAAAACATTTCCCCAATTTCAAACCATCAATGATATATCTTTGGTTGATTCAAAATATGAGAATAACAGATCCACAGCTAGGTGAAGGAATACAAATTGCACAAGGTTGTAAGAGTTGTCTCCCTTCTTGCCGTTTCAGAATAGTTGTTCAAACGATTTGTGATTCTATAAACATACATTTATGCATTTTCGATAATAAAGTTCTAGATAACATTTTTGTGTAAATGCAATGAAACCTTGTGGTGTTCTAGATAATATTCTAGGTAAAAAAATATTGAAGAAAAGCACACCTAAGCTTGAAGACAGAGGGGTAAGGTTATCACTTAATAACTGAGGATGAGGATTAGTAAAATGAAACATATGCACGTGGCCAATAAATGAAAGAGATTGAAATATAGAGAGAATAACAATGTCATATACTATATGCTCTGTGTTTTGTCTTTCGGTTTCAAGCCAAGGGTAGCTTAAATAACATTATACTGAACCTGATTTTTTTTTCATCCTGTATTAAATCGAAAATTCAGGCAGTTAGAATTTGTGTTTGTTGTTCAAACTGTATTTACCTTTGATTAATATTACACTCAACTTGTCTGAAGACCAAAACTGAAATAATTACTCCGCGCAGAAATATAGTTCCAAACTTCAATGGATATATTTTGTTTTACCTTTAGTGACTTTGCCTAAATAAGCTTGTTCAATACAACAAACAAAATCACTTTTCGATCAGATTTTTTATATCGCAATTCAGAAAATTCATGCACGTGCTAAAGTATAGTCGTTGTCTATTGGATAATACAACACCAATTTATGTGATAAGTATACTCCGACAGTGACATCACGATAAAAAAAATTAAATTATGTAAATCAATATATATATTGGACATTGTACACGAACCACCGACTGATTATCAATGACATTCTATACCAGAGGGACCATACGTTTCACATGTATTCTAGGTGTCTGCAATATTCTTGATAAAATATAACAGAAACGTATTGGTTCTCTGTTCAGTATACTACCTTTGTTTGGGTATATCTGCCGACAGAGGCGGAGAATAATGTATTTGACGTGCTGGTTACAAAAACCGGAAAATTCTGGGGTAAAACTGTGGTCGAACTGTATGGTGTTGTTACTTGTGTGGTTGGTACAGGTGTTGAGTACGTGCTTTTTGGCGATGCTGGTTTTTTAGTCGAAGATTGCGATTTTGTTGCAGTGGATGTTGTCACTGGTTTAAAACTTGTGGTTTTTGGGCTCAATGTTGAGAATCTGGTCTTAGGCCTTTTTGTGGTTGAAGATATTGGTGATGTAGTTGCAGATGGCCTAGGTGTGCTTGCTGATGATATGGAAATTGTCGGTGTTGGAGGGGTAGTTGAAGTAGTTGTAGGGGTAGTTGTTGGTGTAGTAGTAGCGGTTGTCGGTGTTGTAGTGGTGGTTGTCGGTGTTGTAGTGGTAGTTGTCGGTGTTGTAGTGGTAGTTGTCGGTGTTGTAGTGGTGGTGTTGTAGTGGTGGTTGTCGGTGTTGTAGTTGTGGTTGTCGGTGTTGTAGTAGTGGTGGTTGTCGGTGTTGTAGTAGTGGTGGTTGTCGGTGTTGTAGTGGTAGTTGTCGGTGTGGTAGTGGTAGTTGTCGGTGTTGTAGTGGTGGTTGTCGGTGTTGTAGTGGTAGTTGTCGGTGTTGTAGTAGTGGTTGTCGGTGTGGTAGTAGTAGTGGTTGTCGGTGTTGTAGTAGTGGTTGTCGGTGTGGTAGTGGTGGTTGTCGGTGTTGTAGTAGTGGTGGTTGTCGGTGTTGTAGTGGTGGTTGTCGGTGTCGTGGTAGTAGTTGTTGTTGGCGTTGTAGTTGTTGTAGTGATAATCTCCACACACGAGCCTTGATCACACATCTTAAAACAATGAAGTGAAGAGAGTCAAGAAAAACAAAATACCAACCTGTCAACATAATTGTTATCCAAACTCAAATTCGATAAAACTAGGCTAAAATATTAACAAAAAAGGACAGGTTTACACGGAGATTCATGAAAAAAGTACAAGGAGAATAAGACCAGGTGTTCCGGAAGAGTAAGTATTCTATGCTTTTATTGGCGACACTCGCCACGTTAACCTTTGTTAATCCAATTTAATAATGTCACATTCTCAAATGGGAACAAGGTATACAACAACAGAACCGATAGGCAAGCTAACGATTATCGAACATGTCCAGCTTCTTATCGCACAAAGAAACAGAATATTTCTCAATAAGGTCATTATGAGATCAATATGCGAAGATTCAAGGAGGGGATATCACACTGACACTCCCTCTAGGATCTTGACACATGATCTGTACTGTTCTATGAAAGTTTAATTTCTGTTCACTTCTCTCTGTTTAGGTGATGTCATATTTTGTATTCACAGGTGAATGAATAAGCTAATAATATTACTGAACAAACAAAAATCAATATTTACCCACCCACATATTTCGTTTCGGAAAAAGTTTTTTAAAACCTTGGTGTAAAATTGAAGTTAAGCCATTCAGCGTTTCGATCAGTCCCAATATAGTAAATAAATAAAAAGTTCGAAGGAGAAAATATCATATGTAATTCAGAAAAAAAAATTAAATGAGGTTAATACTAACTTAATGATAGAAAATGGACGGTTCAGTTACGAAGGGAGGTTTTGTGATATAAACTGAGTAACTGAACCGTCCATTTTCTACCATTAATGTAGCATTATATATTATTATCATTATTATAATATATGAGTTCAAGACTATTGCGGCGCTTACGCAGCAGAATATTTAACCGCGTTGCATGAATATTCGTGATAAGTTTATTGATTACATATAAAAATGTAATTTGTAATGTCTTAATTCTTCAGAATCTGTCAAATATCAGTCTTTTCGTGTGATAGATAATGAAAATTTAAAATAAATATCATTTTGTTGAATTATGGGGCTAGTGAATCTCCCGATCAGGTTACAGTCGCCAAGAGTTAAACCTTAAGCATCACTGAAGTGTATTAGAAATGCCAAACACCTGTATGATTCGATTTTTATAATATTTGGCTCTGCTTTATCTAGTTCTAAATTATATCAAAAGGTGTTATTTACAT